CCAATTGAGTGCATAGGCATTTTTTTTCCTTGTTCGTTCTAAACACGCCCCATAATCACAGCTCTATGGAGCAGTATCAGACTCATATTCTGACTAGAATTGAGTAGGACTACGTCAGGCTTATGTACAGAGGCCTTAGGTTTGAATCCGACCTATGGTCTTTTGCCTCATGTCTCTCCCCCCTCTCATACCCCCTTTCCTGTCAGCCTACTGTTGAAATAACGAGCCACTAGTGCCGCAAAAACTGAAAAAGGCTTCTCTACTTTAAGCCTTCCAGGGTTCGAGAGGTCATTATCCAACAGAAACATGAATGATACTAGTTTAGGTGGGACTAGAGCTTTCTGACAAATACAGTGACTGAAGCTCTCCATTGTAAAAACCAAAAACATATGAAGGTGGGCACATTTGCATGCACACACACAGTATACATGAAGCAACAATATGTTTTTGTCAATTTCCTTGAAGTGTTTTGTTTCTATGCAAATAGGTTTTGGGATTCCTTGTAGCTCCTGACTGCAGATAGGAATGTCACAAGGTCTCCATGCAAAAGGAACCATGACAGGGAACAAACTGGCTTCTTTTCCTACCTCAATCCTTATTGCAAGCACTATTTGGAAAGCACTCATCATCTCGACTACTGGTGCACTTCTGCGTTGGCTAAAGAACCATTACCAATTTGCTTTATTTATATCCAACAATGACCACTGGATAGTAGGCAGCAGTTGTCCAGTGACCAATGATAAGCAGATATACATAATAGATGGATGGATGCCCTTCTTTAGAATTTTGTACAACATTGTGTTGTTTACCTTATAAACCACAAAATCACATTGAAATTGGTCAGTCCTTATTTAAATGACAAAAATAAACTTTTTAGAGCTGCTGATTTCTCTCTGTTAGTTGATAAATTACTGCATAACTTTGCTTCCCAGCAGCTCAAATTACTTAAAACATATACCCCAGATAAAAAAAAAGTTGATAAACAGCTCTAATGTTACCAGGAAATGTTTTATTGCTATTTTTTTTCCTGTAAAGCCCATTAGCTATTTCTTGGGGATGCCTTCAAACAGTCCTAAACAATAGGAGAAAGCAAAAGAATGATAACCGCTCTCTAATGTCATTAAATACAGACTTGGCTCAAATTTCCATCAGTGACACGTTAAGTGCTGTGACATCTGCCTTTGTTTGGTCTGAGGAGGTGGTGAAACTGAGAGCTTCCTGTGACTCTAATGGCTCGATCTGGATCTGAGCCAAGTGTATCATATCTGTGTCTAAAACATCTTTTGGCCAGTGGTTATGTTTTGTGCAACGTGATTTTAAACTTTAATATTAAAGTCAATAATGCTCGGATATCAACTTTTACAAATTGCAGACATAATTGCATGAAAAAATAATAGATCTGCCATCATGTCCTTGTGGTGTTAAACAAAACACCATCCAGGTATCGCAACACTGCAGAAGCGAGTACAGCTGCAGCCCACGTTCCAAAGTAGGTTACACAACTTAAAACTTTCAACAGAAATGATCTTATCTAGCTGTACGTGAGCAACTCAAGCTGAAACAACAAAGCAGCAGCATGAATGGGTTTGACACTCCCCCCTCAGCCCTCCTCCTTTTAACAGTGAGCCTCTTGTCAACAAGAGAGCTGTGGTGACCTTTCGTGCAAACTTTCAAACTTGAATATGGGATGCAATGTGAATACAAAATGCATTTGTATCACTAAAACGCTGTAGTTCTTCACTGACTAGAGATGGACTTCATTTTTTATCTTTGCAGTGGAAGTTAGTTTAGTTATCTGCCCACATTACAGAGTGCTGGAGTTTGTTTGAGAACACTGCATACAACCATGGCTGGCTGAGCCTGGCTGTCAGTCCTGGTCTGGGAGCTTCTGTTCTCTCTCCCACTTCCAGCACAGCGTGCTGCACTGCTCTTGGTTGCAGTCACATGTGGTTCCATGTGAGCCTCCTGCAGGAACACACAGCAGCTGGAGGAAGGAGACCTGCTCTGTTGTCAGCTGTTTATGCCAGAACTGACTGCTCTGTGAAACTAAGTGGTTGAGTTGTGGGTGACTTCCCCCTCCTGCCTCCCCCCAAACGTTCATCGCATTTATTCTCCTCCACTGCAGCTGGAAAAACATATTATGCATTAAAGGCAGACAATGAGCCTCTCATATAGCCCAGTAATGGAGCCCACTCTTGTGAAGTATGTATGTACTTACTGGAGGTACTACTATGGATCAGAAGAATAAAACACCTAACTTTTGTGTTTGTGCATCATTTATAGTCTTAAAACAGCTGCGATGCACACCTTTGTACATAGTAGAAAGTGAAGTAATAAAGACAATGCTGTCAACAAACCAGAACTGACAATGCTCCTTTGATGGGTGCAAGTATGTTTGTTTGGCTCCATCTGCTGGTTAACTCAGCAAACAACTGTCCGGCACTTGAAATTGCTGTAAACATCAATGATCCCAAACACATCTCATCTTCTGAGAGTTGCAAGCAAGTATATTCTGTTTGATGAGTGTTTCGCGGTGCTTCTGTTTCTCCACTTTTCTTCTGTTGTTAATGGTCTTTGCTTGCCTAGTTCCAACTTTTGATTATATTTCTGTGATTTATTTGAATACATATCTGTATATACTTCATTGCATAAAAAAAAATAATTGATTCCCTCCAAATTTTGGACTTAAGATGCTCCCATCTCTTTAATGGTCACAGATTTATTAAACTAAGCATCTAAAAGTGCAAATCCATCCATCCATTCCTACTCGTATTATAATGCTATAAGGTAAATTTTGTTTTATTTCACCTACCTGAAATCTCACAATAGTTAAAGCAGAAAATATACATTTTGATAGGATAGAAATAGTGAAGTGTATCTAAGGCTGGAGAAAAGAATGAAAAGATATAAGGCAGCCTGTATTAACACAATGACGCATTAACTCTTCCTCAGGACTGGATTTCAGAAATGGAACAAAGAGGATTAGAAGAGACAGCACACCTAGAGCAGGCGTCTGATATGTACACAATCCATCAAATAATAGCCAGTGGAATAAGACGTCGTTTCTAAGGTAAAGATCTGGAAATACTGTTTAAATAAAAGTCAGGAATATGTTGGTTCAGTCTAATTTGGTAAGAATATATGCTAATTCATTTATTGGTGGGACAATAAAGTAATAAGCAGACAATATTTAAGTGTCAAAGTCTGAGAGATGAATTATTTTACATTTTTCTTAGAATCATTTAAACGGAGCAGTAATTTAATAAAAAGTGGTTTCATTCTGATTTCATTTGCAGGTATGTTAAGCTGAAACTCAGAGAAAATGTGAGCAGCAAATTGGGCAGCAATGCGTATTTTAGCCTGTAGACTTTGAATAAATCCTTACTGATTTATTCAAAGCACTAATCTTAAAGAAAGTTATTTTATATAGATAACTATGCCTCAGTAGTGGTTTTGTTAGTCTGTTCAGTCAATCTTCGAATGGACCAGTTGATACAAGTAGATTCCAGGGGTAAAATTGTATAAAGCAGATAGAAAATAAACTGTCAAATCCCAAAAGTCAACAAGGTGATGTTTCCGGCAGGTTAGCATTTTTATTTCTTTTTCTAAATTGTTTATTTCTATTTTATTTGACATAGTCAAGGAAGTGTTTACTTGTAAAGTGGAAAGAATATGATGCTTTCTTCTACCTACAGAGAAGAAAAATCACAACATTGGTAAACATTCAACTAGGGCTGCAAGATTAGTGGATTTCAACCTGCTCCTAATGCCCAACTGTGCACCATGTTTCTGATGTTTCTCTACTGCTGCACACCTTAAATAATTAGATGATTGACAAGTTTCTGCTGCAGATGATGGCATATATAGAAGGGGAATCAGTTTATATCACATACAGTTTAGTCATAACTAAAATTGGCTCAGTAAAAGTCCAGGCCTATATCCAGTTAAGAAAATGTGGGAAGAGTTAGAAAGTGGCACCCCAGACCCTTACCATCCAGTCTGTAAGAGTTTAAGGTATTAGATTAGAATAAGAGGAAGAAATTAAGGAATGTAAACACATGTAAAAAACAAAAAATACAAACAATAAAACACAACTTGCAGCCCAATTTACAGCAGTCCTTTTCTTTTATCTATACTCATAAAAAACTCTAGAAGCTGTCTTATTTCTTCCATTTCACATTACAAACCTGCATCTGTTTCTCTGAACACACTGACATTTTTGCCGTGGTTAGAAATTGTAGACATTTTGAAAGAGTGAATACTTAATCCTCAGATATCAAAAAACATTTCTTTTTATATAAACTGTTTCTGGTCAGGAGAAGATTAATCCATCAGGTGACACCATGATAAAAAGAAAAGTCTATTCCGGATGTTCCTGAATCACAAGGTGTGAAGGGACTTTGGCCCCCAGAAATTGCTGTGTCTTGTGAGGGATGCTCTGAAAGCACAAATCTGACAGGACTGTGATACACACCTGGCTGCTTCTTCATCTTCATCTTCTTCTCCTCCTTAGGTATGAAGTTTTCATTTGACTTTGAGGGAAAATATATATCATTTTATAAACAGAGTTGTTACTGCATAGACAATATAATGCCTCCATTGATGCATTTATATACATTACTCTCAAAGGATAGAACTATAAACATCAAATGTTCTTAATCTAAATGTTGTCTTTCTTAAACTTAATCCTACTCATCTTTTCTTTTGAAACACTAAATCATTCACGCCTTGTGCATTGAAATGCAGTGAGATTCAGCTTGATTTTCAGTGAAAGAACCAAAGTTTATAAACATTAACGGAGTCATATGACAGTCAGTGTCTCGGTCTGTTACATAATAACTTCAACAAAGTAAAATCTCAGCTTTATGACCAGTCGGTTAGCAACTTTGGATCTTCATATTCTATTAAAAAGACATTGAGGAGCATTAAATGTAACATAAATGTAATTGTTTGCAGGTTATTTTAAAGGCAGATATCTTCTTTCCTCATTTTCAGCTGTTGGTAGAATCACTGCTATGGAGACTCTTGGCCTAAGGAAGACTCAGTCCTTGAGGAATCTCTCTGGGGCTCAGGAAAGATCTTGGATCATGTCATCGACAGCTAACTGGAACAGGAAGTCTGTCTCTCAGCTGGTGCAGCAGTAAGTTCACACATGGGGTCACATTCTTGGAGACATTTTTACAACCCAGCAAATGTCAGCAAATAAATTACGTACTCAATAAATAAATTCCTTATGTATATTAGGTACCAAAGCTGTGCGGACCTAAGGAGTTCAGAAAAATCAGAGCAAGGATTTGAGGTTAGACTCTTTTTTAACGTGATCATATCCCATATCAGTGCAAAAGTTTAATATCAACTTGTATCTTCAGGATTCAGAAACCTGTGCGGACAGCCGTTGGAAGAGGCTGGACAGCAGGGAGACTGGGAGCCTCTGGAGTAATATGTCCAGGAGTCGCTCCATGGACTTCCTCCCTCAGAGAGAGACTACTGGGACCAGAGCTCTGCGGGCCCTGTTTGAGTCCAAAGCCACCCTGCAGCAGGACTACCACAGCAGTCCTCGACTGAACTGCCTGCCCTCTGCCAGTGGGAAAACAGTGAGAGACGGTCCTCTGCAGGACTGGAGAAGTTACAACACCCTGCAGAAGGAAACTTCGGTTCTGGTGAGAGACAGACCAACTGTGATTGGTTGCATGTCACAAGATACTATCAATACACACAGTTCTATATGAATATGTGTTGAACATGTTAAAATTTGGCTACATTTAAGACATAAACTTAAATTTATTGGGATTAGTAGCGGACCAACACAAAGGGGTGCACAACGTCGGAGCTGTACATTTTTACATATACATATATACACATACACACATACATATATATATATATATATATATATATATATATATATATATAGATATATAGATACATACATATATATATACATATATA